AGCGCAAAAGTAATGTGGTAGCGCCGGCGTCAGTAGGTGCGAGCGCTAGGGGTCATCGCGCTAAATTGATGCCATATTCGTATTCAACTGATATTGATATCATGTTATCATACTGATATGTTCGCTAAACTGATATTCATGTTCTGGGGTCAACTACCCTACACCGGGTACACCGGATTAAAAAACTTCTACACAGCAAGTTTCTTAGTAAATAGTGCCATCAGATCAAAAGGAAAGGGAAGATTTTAGAAAAAAAAATGTTTGAAGGACGCTCCAGGTAGACACGCTCACCTGTTCCATACCCAGGTGTAGTAGCAGGCGAACAAGCGTTGATGTCGCGCCCCTTTTGCGGCTTGAAAGTGCGCGACAAAGGCGCAGAAGCTCGCTCGACCCGCAATCCACACCTTCGTCCGCAAGCCCCGCCCTTCCGCTGTCGGTTGCCACGTGATGCTGCTTGAAAAGCGCGGGCGCAATTGCGGCAGCGGTTGCATTGCGGTTCCATAGCACTGGGGCATGAAAGCCAGAGTCGTGAGACTCGTCCACCACGCCCCTTCTCTATCCCAAGATAAATGCGGCTGAAATAGAGGAGGTCCTTATTCGGGGCGTTAATCGTGGTTTGTCTTGCTTTCTTTTCTTTTCCAGACCGTTCCATACCTCTAGCTTCATTACTGAACGCTCTTCCACGCCTATTTTATCCCGAAGCTTGCCATTAATATGCTTAATCAGCAATTAGGTTAACTGCCTATGTCTACCATGACAGTGTATGGTCAAAAGGTTTTACCTTGGAACTCATAACAAAATGATGGAGGAAAGGAGGTCGAGGAAGGTCGACCATTCCACATTTTACTTCCACTATGCCAAGTACCTCCTCATTACCCATATTCCCTACAGCTACCGCGGAGAGAGTTCGAAAGGTCTTCAACCTTCAAATTGGGCAGGAAAACATGCTGCAAAATCGTTTTACTGTATTGAAGCAACTTCTTTCATTATTTTTCTATGCAACACATGTAGACCCAGGAACATGAGAAATGCGCACATAATCACTATTGCCTCAGCTGTGATTGGTAACGACAACATTAAGGAGATGAGGCTAATGAGAACGGGGAACAATCTTATTGGTTCTCAAAGGAGCTATTGTGATGGTGACTTATTGCAGTTAGCACTCTAAACAGCAACACAGCTGACGCAGGTACAATGGAAAAGAAGGGAAGTTAGTGCTTTTGGGTAAATAAATAAATGGTTTGAAAATCTGGGTCAAAAGACTTAGACCGAGCAATACCAGCACTTTCGCTGTTTGTGGCAAAAAGAGCTCCTGAATTTAGCTAAATGCCAGTATAATAAGATGGGAGGGGTTCGGCAAAAAACATTTGATAAAATACTTTTGGCACGCATAGAATCTGGTTGTCTTGTCAGGAGCGGAAAGCAAAGCACAGGTTTCCTCCGAAAGGAAATCTCATCATCCCGATTATACTCCTAGCAATCAGCAGGAACCGCTTTGTCAGTTTTAACGAGGTCAGGCAGTGATCTCTCTAAACGGCAGCCTGCGGCGAGTATAAAACCACTAATTCATGGTGGATTTCTAGGAAAAAACAAAACTCATCAAGCAAGGCCGTGTCTATGACTAAAACCTTGAGGAAAAAAAAACAAAAAAAATACAAAAATTACCACTATCACTTGCAATAACAGGAAGACCATTATTCAGATTTCAGGAAGAAGTTTTTTGCTGGGTATATCGCAAGTTATATCAGCATCAGTTGACCTCTTCCTTGTCAGCGGACTAACTTCCAAAACATTCTTATCGTCTCCCAGTCTGAAGAAACCCATGAGAACAGTGTATTTTCCTGTGTATTTTTTCAAAATGAGAATAACTCATTCGCTTCTTCACCATCAAACTCCGAAACGGGCCGAGCTGTAGCAGTCTCCTATCTTATTCTCTTCACCAGCTTTAACATCGACATCACTTATTCGATCCATCACCTTAAGCACCTTTGTTTGAAAGGAGTGGTAAAATTTCAATAAATCAAAAGAAGTAATTAATAAAGCAAAAAAGTGGTATAATTGGGTGTCGAAATTAAGGAAGGCCTAAAACAGAAACGAACCACCTCTGGAGTAGACGCGCTCTTTTGAATGGATTCAATTGTTTCACACTGTGTTTCACTTGAAGAATTGACCGCAGCTTGTTGGTTTTCTGATGAGGAAGATGAGTTGGTGGCGATATTCAAATTCTCAGTCGATGCAGAGGTCATGCGAGCCTAAACGAGGGTTCCATTTCAAAAGATAAATAACAGATTTTTTTGGTAATTTCTGTATCCGTAAGCAATTGCGCCATTTTGGTCTTCACTGAACTGGAATTTGTTCAGTGTTACGGTTCCTGTCTAGGCCTTGAATTAATTAACGAAATTAATCGGTGTTCAATCTAACGCCAACATTGAAGGAGAAGAAGAAGGAGCCTGAATTGGAGAACCCAGGCTCCACAGAAAAAAAAAACAAATGGGAAATTTGAAGTGGTGCCCATCGAATTATCTGCATAGTAGCGAGAAAGCAAGCCAACTAAATGTAGCCTCACTCTGCCACTCTGCTAAGGCTGGTGTCAGAGTCCGCGATCCGCTCTTCGCGATTTGCGCGAAACCTGCGATGGATCACAGGAGTACACAAGGCACAACACACACAAGGCGCCCGCGAACTGTGCTGGAACATTTTCAAATTTCCCGCACACTTCGCGGGCGCTACCGGCTCGGCCGTGCTCGCCGCGGCGCCCATAAAACGTGAAAAAAGTAGGGGGGGGGTGATGGGGGCACTTTCGATTCCTCATACGTCGCAGGCTTCGCGCGGATCGCAAAAATTGCAAGTGCCCCATTTGAACATTTGAAACACTGAATATGAAACAAGTGGAATCATGAGCAGTCGTCATTCAGCCATCACCATCAAGCAGAAGTGGCGGCGGATTGGAGAACACCTTGCAGTATTGATCGGGCACTTGTGATTTCCGTGACCCGTCGCGCAAATCGCGAAAATCGCGCAAATCGCGAAAATCGCGCAAATCGCGCGACGGATCGCGGACTCTGACACCAGCCTAACTGCCTTGATAAGCACCCGACTCTGCGCCTGAGGCTTCTGTTGAGATCAAAATGCGCGTACACCCTGCCCCCCCCCCCTGCGGCCACTACAGTAGGATTACTTTCAGTGCTTGTCAATAACTGTACAGGTTGTTGGCTCGTTTTCTTTGCAAGGCTTACGCGATTCACGAGAATGAGGCCACTGCATGGTACTTTTCTGCTCTTTTCTGAGCTCTTAGAAGGCACTCAATCGCGTATCTTACCAAGTTAACTTTTCATCGATTTCCCAACGCACGACTGACCTATGTATAAAATGCAGAACCACCAATAACTTTACGCTAGTAGAATGAAGTGCATATAAAGATGCATCGGAAGAATTTGGTCAATGAAAGAATAAATGCGGCCTGTACGAACCCTGGAGCAAGCTCAAAAAGAAACAGACCAAATTAGAACTTGAGCCCGTCCCAGACGACGTTCGAGCAATCGTGCGTCTAACAGCATGACGACCACGCATGTAATCCTCTTTCGGGAAATCCATTGCCCCAACATCGGCCCTCCGAACATATTGCAGATCAACCTGGTAATAGAACAATCTTCAGATAAATTATCTACCACTCTCACAGTCATGTACGTAGAGATTAGAAGATTTACTCAATTTGAGTAAGTAACTCAGTAATAACCTTCATTCCATCATTGTAATTCTTCATTTTAATGCCAGTCGTTACAATTATGTGATGGAACTGGCTGATTTCCACAGTCAAATCGAATGCTTTCGCCATTGCACGATCAAATTCCAAGCCGATGAACCACAATGTGCAAACTGGGTTCCTAAAAAAGACTTATTGCATCTCAGTAGGGTGATTAAACGTAGTGTATTGTTCGGATTTAGCCACAAGATTGCAAAAAAAACCTTTCTCAATCTCGATAAACTTACTCATATCCAGGACCGAATGAAGGAACAGCAGTAGGTAGTGGCTTGTACTGCCGAGGATTAATATGAGCTAATGAAATGCCTTGATTCCTTTCAAGGGCACCAATTAAATGTCGGATTTTTGATTCCACGAAACCGCAAAAGATCAAGTGATCCTCTTCTGTTCTTGCTGCACAAGTCAGAGCTTAAAATAGATTCTTCGTTAGCCCATCTACTACCAAATATAAATTCGCTAAATAACTCACAAATGAAGTGCTTATATCTTGTGAAGAAATTTACTTCCTCGAAAAGTTTTGACCATTCTGCTCGACCTTCGTAAATGTCCTTCATTATTTCAAGTCCTAAAAACTAGCGAACTACAGCATTCAGAGTTTAGGCAGACGAGAGATCGGAACCTTCTTTCATTTCGCTAATCATTATGCTCCTCGTTGAATTCGTGACATTGAATGTGGAATTTTGTTCAGGAAAAGCAGGAGTTAGAATGGGCATGAGATGAAACCTAAAAACATTTATTATTCTCTGAAAACTCTAAGCATAAAAGCATACAACGAGATAATCCCTACAACACTGACAGAAAACCAAGACAAATACCTGTCGGATCCACGAATTCGAGGGTCCCATACTAAATCTTGGAGGTTGCCAATATCAGGCCGACAAGTGGTATCCATGTCTTTCAAAACAACAGGAAGGGGCCACTCCCTGAACAGCGACAAGTGCAATGAGCAGAGATTCTTACATAGCCAACATAGCATAACTTACCATGTAACGAACACTAGAAAAAATTTGAGGAGCAATTTAGAAGGCGAAGCATTGGGATACAACTGACATGTTCGTGCTACCAATATTGCCCATGTAACACCTCCGAGAAATCCTTTAAAAAGCAACATCAGATTAAACAGTCTTTTTGCTCAAGCGTGAATGTAAAAGGCCCCCTGGAAACTTACCAAGAACATTTGAGTAGATGCCATGGTTCTTCGCCCACAACTTAACGGCCCGCAGACACAATGCAAATGCTTCAGGATATGGCACTAAGCGCAATATTTCATCGGCTACTCGACAACCTAGAATAGTCGAATTGACCAACAAGGGGGAGGTCTTTCAGGGCAAGCCGCGCTTTTTGGAAACGGTTTCTTGCATATTGTAGGGACGCATGTATGGACCACAAAACCATGTTTCGTTTTCGCTGAACGGTTTTAGTAGTACCAAAAAAGTGGTGAATGATACCCTTGATGGTTCGATCCCCGCGGCGACTAAATTTTGCAATCAAGGTTGGCGGCCACTTGTTGGCTTCAAAATGGTCCTGACGATGAATATGACATCAGATTTTAACATTTAGATGTCGGTCTGCGATTGCATCGCGCGATGCAGTCGCTCTGCCTAGAGCGATTGGCATCGCTCCAAAGTGCGAGCGACGGGAGATTTACCCGAGCGGCGCCGTGTGTATCGGTCGTCGGGGTAAATCTCCCGTCGCTCGCACTTTGGAGCGATGCCAATCGCTCTAGGCAGAGCGACTGCATCGCGCGATGCAATCGCAGAGTCTGACCGACATCTTAGCGCGATTTGGCACCAAACCAGTAGGCGCCAACCCAAATGCAAAATTTAGTCGCCACGGGGATCGAACCCTTAACAGTACCTTATGCTTCTTTTTTGGTACTGCTAAACCGTTCAGCGAAAATGAAACATGGTTTTGCGTTCCCTACATGCGTCCCTACAATATGCAAGAAACCGTTTTGAAAAAGCGCGACTGCGCCCTGAAAGACTGCCTCCTTAACCCTTTCGGCCCTGGCGGTGGCAATTGCCACCACCAAATTCAAACGCTTGCATTGCCGCTGAAACAGCAGCATGGTTTTTCTAATCCTGCTAGAGGTTGCTTCAGTCAACCTTCCCCTTCCTAATTATGAGCTAAACCTGCCATTTCATTGTGTGTTGCTGTTAGTATTACAAGTATTTGTGTACAAGTGCAACAATGAATGGGCGCTGACCCCCGCAACCGGCCAAGTAAGTGTGACTTTGTCTTAAAATACTTGAAGTAGGATCCATTCCTAAATCAAAATTATGGGTTATAATGTTATGCAAGATTATAAACTTTTTCGGCATAACTATGAAATTTCGAATTGTTTCGACATAAGCTTAAAAACTAAGAAGGTGGGCCAATTTTCAAAGCTTCTTAGTTTCTTTGTTTGTGATCGAATAGCTTCCAAATTTCGCCATAATGATACCTATATGCTCACAAGTAATAAACAATAGCTAGAAGAAAATTTCTCCACGGGGAAAAATTCAGGTCCGAAAGGGTTAAACTCCTAGCTGTTTGAATGGATAAGTTGGTTCCACAATTACTTCGTTGCAATATGAACTTAGGCAAAAACTAAAGCGAGAGTTTATTACGGTTTCAAGAAAATGAAAGTAAAACAAATGGGAACAGCATAGCACGGTTCAATTTGTCATTTGAGACTTATTCATGGGCCGTTTCTTTCTAGAATCAATAGCTTTCTGATAATGTCAAAGAAGAAAGAAGTCCGAATTATTCATACATTGGTAATACAAAAAAGTACCGTTTAATGATCTGATGCTCTTATCGTCCAGATTCTTGAGAAGCATGTCGTCATTCAAGGTTTGATCATCAGGCACTTCCTGAAGACGGCTTCATCAACCAGAGCAACACTCGCTGATTGCGATAAAGATCGGTATGGTACTGACATTTTCACGATGACCGATGACGGTTTCAGTATCAGTTAAAACCCACACGGTCCCTCGCATTATAAAACACTACGATTATATCTTAGCTTTAAAAAAACAAGGCAAACGGAAACACAATGGCACCTAAAAGACTGCGCTGTGTAACTTTTCCGGCTTCTTTCCCCACAATCCCGCAATTCTCGAGCCTTCATTAATGACTTATAGTTATTTATTTCAATTCAACAGACTATCTCCCTCTGCCGTATACCTGTGAAATCTGCCCACAGATGACACCCGTAGCACTTTTATAAACTGTGACACTGCATTAATCACATCTAGGTCCAAAATCCGACTTAATTAAAGGCGCTCTCATAGTAAGTCGTCGATCGCAACGATCGCACAGCATTACATACGTATCGACCGTTGGACGCGACGGACATCATGACGATCGATGCGCACCTAATGGTGTGTCATTATCACCCTCTATGGAAACGAACCAACGTGTCTACTTTCACGCCGGTATCTTTTGTTGACCGGCATATCCGGTAGTCGCTTGTTATAATTCCTCGATATGAAACTCAGAATGTGAGAGGCACGGAAGGGATAAGCAGGTCTGAAGAAATCACAAATGAAAGAGGAGGTAAGAAATGGATATTCCTTTGCATCGATCACTGTTGCGAAAATGATCATAGAAACACAAATGACAAAAAAAATTAAAAGAAAAAACGGAGATAAAATGAAAAATAAAGTTACATATTATGTTAATAAATTTAGAAAGTTCCTGACTGCTACCTTTAAAGCTAATCTCGCAAAAAGGATATCAAGCTCAATGCCAGCGTATTTGAGCTTAATGACGGGGACGAATGCATCTTCGACGGCGTGTAGATCAGTAACATTATCATCCTATAAAACAGATGCAAGCACGAATACTCAGCAAGAATAAGCCAAGCCATAATACTCACTGCTTTGAGCATGTCGTAGAATGAGCCAAAGAAATCCGACCGGTCAACATGCCTAGGTGCTACACAAAGCGTATCAATATCAGCGCCCTAAAAACATTTCAAGGTAAAACATTCAAATGTTTAATGCAGTAAGTGCTATTTTGTTAAGAATGGTAGGTAATGCTGGAGCGAATTCAAATGAGGAGTTAAGAAATCAACGTACCTCGTGTATGCACTCCTAATCTATATGATCCAAAAGTGAATAACTTCCCACCAACATTTTCACACATTTCAGCAGGAAGCTGAAACCACGCAACAATTCGTAGTGGAACATTGCTTAAAACAATGGGAGTGGACTTTGATTAAATGCAAGGGGAATACCTTAGACTCCGACACCTTTCGCACCCAATTTTTCACTAATGAGTTGAGTTTGCGAAGAACCTCGATCCTTGCATGCATTTCCTCGTCGGTTTCGAATAGGTTAAAATTTTTCAAGCATTCTACCAGCTGAAAAAGTAACGGAAAGTTTATAGAAAAACAAGAAAAAACTGCTGAAAAAAAAAGCAACTGATCCATTCTTACAGTTTTCAACTAAAATGACCAACCTGTGCAGTACGCCGCAAATCTCGCGGGTCAGGTATCTGCTTTGAGAAGTTGACTAACGCTCCTAAGCAGGGATTTTCCGGTCCCCCACAAAAATACCCCCCCCCCGCCATTTCCTGGCTCATCCCAACATGTGGATACTTTGGCAAAGAAGATGAGTAAACGATGGACTACTTGTGCAACGCCTCGTTTAAACAATTTTAAATCACAACAATGATCAATGAAGTGTTTATGTATGCAAAAACAAGCTCGTAAGCTTTACAAGCACAAGAAAGTGGAACGTTTATCAGTTGAGCATCCCCTTGGAGGACGAAACATACCATGAACGAAAAGATGCTATTTCCTCAGCAGAAAGGGGAAACAATCAAAGTTGAGTCAAGCTTGATAAACCTCCCTAACGGAAAATTAGAAGATTAGGACACTATCGTTGCTAGGCGCACAGCAGGTGCCAAAAAACTATCCGTAAGAGACACAACGAATCCCGTTAAATGAAAAATCGGTCGGAGTAACCAGGAAAATGATAGAAAATGAAAACGCCGTTGGAACACGATCGATGTTGTCGGGGAGCAAAGAGACCAAAATTTACGAGTGAAGCAGTGATAACTCACACCAGCGAATTCGTGCGGCAATGAGTGAAGAAAAGAAGGAGCAAGTAAATTCAAGACCTCTAAACCCCTCTCGTTTTCAGCTTCTTAATGTAGGAGCGCGGAGCATAAACAGACATGTGACGTGAGCCACGAGCTTACACCGTAATCACGGACGAAACGGATTGAACGCGCAAGAGGGCAAGAACGGTTTTCGAAGGCATTGCCTTTCCGTTGTTCATTCGTTCCAGAGCCTGTGTTCTAGGTGGTGCAGAATGGTCACTTGGCGAGTAAGTATAGGCATTATCCTTGAGCATTGATCTATGAACCTAATTTGGTACTCGTGAAGTTAGTCAGTACCCAAACCGGTGTCGTGAAGTTTGGTGAGATTTGCTGCAAGGGCTGTCATTTGCCAGCGTTGATCACTTGCCTACTACCAAAGTGGTTTACGGACTACTTGATTTTTCCTCAATGGTCCTGCCGCGATGGCTAGAGCACAGACGATTAGAGAACGGGTGAATGCCCTAGGACTAAGCCTTGGAGAGGAGAGGGACCCGCGAGAGAGCGCAGAGGCGGTTTAAAGGGCTGAGTTCAAGTAGTCCGTCGACCCTACCAAAGCCGGCAGCAATTTCGCCTACTATGGCTGCTGCCTATCGCTTGGCGCATGCATAGTCGGTCATCAACAGCAACGATCCCACAGCATTAGATGCGTATCGATCGTCAGAAGTGCGACACTTACGACCGTTGCTGTCGTCCGACAGCAACGATCGTTGCAGTCGGACGACCGACTATGCATGCGCCCGCTGAGACTTTTGAGTCGCTCATTTGCTGACTATTGTGCGCAGTACGGCTGGTGTCAGAGTCCGCGATCGATTTGCGCGATTTTCGCGATTTGCGCGACGGGTCACGGAAATCACAAGTGCCCCATCAATACTGCAAGGTGTTCTCCAATCCCGCCGCCACTTCTGCTTGATGGTGATGGCTGAATGACGACTGCTCATGATTCCACTTGTTTCATATTCAGTGTTTCAAATGTTCAC